TTATTTTTTTTTTGTCACTTAGAGGAATGGTGTGCAAGTTACTTTAAGCAAGTACATTATACAGAATATAACCATTGTCAGAAGTGTATGTTGTGTAAGAAATGACTAAAGATTTGTTTGGATCAATGGTGTAATTTTTATGAAGACAACCAGACAAAAGGAAAAAAAAACATTGTAATTACTTAAGAAGCTGACAAGTATCATCTCTGTGTGTGCTAATGTATCCTGAATATTGGGAAAGTATGTGTAGACAATATTATTGTTATTATTATTACTATTATTATTATTATTATTATTATTATTATTATTATTATTATTATTATTATTATTATTATTATTATTATTTATTATTATTATTATATTATCATTATTTATTATTATTATTATTATTATTATTATTATTATTATTATTATTATTATTATTATTATTATTATTATTATTATTATTATTATTATTATTATTATTATTATTATTATATTATTGTTATTGTTATAGTAAGCTTTATAAAGAGCCACACTGACAATTTGAGATTTATTCCATCAAAGGTGTCAAGGCAGTGAATGGTGAATGGTGAAAAAGTAAATAATAGTGAACTAGGTGGCCGAGGAGAGGGAATGGATTATGGAAATAAAGTATCTTCAGTAATATTGTAATTGATATAACCAGTTTACAGTAATAATGTTTTTATTATTTTATTATTATAGTTGTTATTATCATTATCATTATAATAATCATCATCACCATCATCTTCCTTGTCGCCGCTGTCGTTGTCAGTGCCGGATTTATTGTCCCTATTTGCCCTTAGGCTAAAGAAATTTTAGCGCTCCCTTTTCAAGCCCACTTCACCCTCCCCACTTTGTTTATTATATATGTAATATGAATTAAATAATCTGTTAGAACGTATGGAAGTAAAAGCATGATTTGATATATACACAGGGATTTATTTATATAGTACGCCAAATAATTTGGGATGGGCAATGTTCAATTATATAGTATAATTAAGATATTCATTGTCATTGCATTGTTACATAGTTTTGAGTTTTCAAATGTTACTGTAGCAGTCAGGTGAACAACATATAATATTCCAGAGATTTGGTGGGATCACTCAATTGCAACTATGGTAAGGCTTAAAAAATTCACAGCACTGCCACCTCTTTGCTCCTGCCTCCCTAGGCTGTAGCTTAGAAGGCCTATATGGGAAATCCGGCCCTGGTCATCATCGTTGTCATTTGTACTCAGTGTTATTATTATCTGAACCAACTGTATGAAAGCTGTACACATTTGTACTAATATATTTATATTAATTATAATTGAGATATAACCTTTATCAGGTATTTTTCTTCCCACACACTATGCAACTTTATATATATATTTATTATTAGTGCTGCTATGGCCTTGTCCATACTGTAGGCCATCAGGATTTCATGATTAAGTCTTCTTGAACCCAAAATATGTGTTTAAGCATTTTTTCTATGTAGTGATATGTTCATATTGATTGCTGCTCTTTTTTGCCTTATATTTTCTTATATGACAAAAATGAGGATTTTTACATTTATGAAATCAAAAGAATCATGGCTTTGAAATTGGTTACATGGGTTATACTGCTATACATTTTTTTTTTTGGAATTTAAAGTGTTTTATTGAACAAAAACATATGAGAAATGCAGAAAGCAGCACTGGGGTGGATATTGTGTTAGTATGAGATGAAAGAGGGAATGAGTGAAATATCTAATGTATGACCAGTAGTGTATTCATATCTTAGAAATGATTAGTAAAAGTTTTGTTTTGTTATTTCCATCTTCAGTTATTTATTAAATGGTGTAGGAAAGGATGCACTTGAGAGGTTGGTGATTATGTTGGATTCTCTTCACTATGTTCTTTGTTAAGTATTTTCTTTTAAATGTGAAAGAAGTTCCTACATCTTCTTACATACTCATTTGGGTATTTTACACAAAATTTGTTGAAACATAATGGGTTATCATGACATTGCTTGATTAAATAAAGATAACATATGCATGTTAGTTTGTTAGAATTAGGCATAAAACAATTCGACTTCGCCATTTTTCTGTGCATAAGTTCTAAGCGAGCTTTTCAACGCAATTCTAAAAAAGGAAGTTTCCGAAACCCCATTATCATATCATGTCCAATGCTGGCCTCACATTTATTGTGAAACCGGACCTAATTAGTTTTCCTGTTTTTTATACTAATTTTTTCTGACTTTCTATTTCCTTTTACGGTGTATAACAGTAATTCCTTTGATTTTAAATTATTTATTTATTTTTTGTTATTTTACAGATTAATTACATATTTCTATGGTTACGAGTACCGCCATTCCCGGTCTCAGCGCGATTCCCTCACGTGATGGGCGACAAGGGCCTCGCTTAGAGATCATCCTCTGCGTTTTGTGCATCTGGCGTTACCATCGACGACGCCCACACTCGTCAGTACATGTTCGTGGAAGCTACGGCAAAGTGAATGTAAAATGTGATGCATAACATTGTTATATTTCTAATAATTATCATCACCAAGTTATCATTCAGTAGATAATCATCACCCACCTATCTACCTGTCATCAGTTATTACATCTGCATCTTCGCCTCCACAAAAAATGACTAAATATGGCGAAAGGAAGTAAAAGAGACGCGAAGTCATGGTGACTGCCCTGTATATTAACTAGAGCAGTTTATTCCATTAGGTCGTGGAATTTTTAAATATTTGAACATACTGATTCGATTGATTTGCATAATGAAGTGGATGACAGATGTTTTCATTGTCTATTATTTCATTCGCTTGCCAATCAGGCCGGTGCACAATCACTTCATGTTCTACGACGAACAAATTACTTATATTTGCAAGATGACCACTGTCTAAAGCACTGGTTCCCAAAGTGGGCGGTACCCCTGTCCAATTCCTAAAGTGTGAGAGCCGTGTTGAAAGGATGAAAGGCTAACTTCGAGCCAGTGATGAACGGGCTCAGGGAGCAATGGGCATGGTATTCCCTTGGTAATTGTCCAGCCCTTACCCCTCATTGGGACCCTGAGAGGTGGACCGTTTATTTTCTCCACGTATTTTAGGCTTCCCATGGCCAGTAAGGAAGATTTTGTACCATTATTAGGGGCAGTGAGGCTTGCCCCTTTATCAAATAACCTCCCTAAATCAAACTCCTCTGGTTTCCGCTCCTCTCCTGTTGAGAGCCTATACGTTCAATCGGGCCTGCTTTCCCTATCCCGACGCCGTGCCCTCTCTCCGGAGTTATGCACGTTTTCACCAATTTTCTCTATATAAACTAACCGCCCCTCAGTCCCATCTTCCTACAATTACTACTTCTCCACGCCTACCTACTCCTTTCTCTGTCCTTATGGAGGCATTCCTCTCATATTCACCCATTCATCGTCTTCGACCCTTACCTTACCTTATCTGTCTTCCCTGAGACACCATTCCTTCTATCCTTCTCACTCATTTTCTCAACCATACCTCAACCCACTCTTCCAACATTTATGTAGATGGTTCCAAATCCATCTCAGGCGCTGGTTTTGCTATAATCTTTCCCTCTCGTACTTTCAACTTTCCACTTCCACCCGAATCCAGCGTTCTTACAACTGAATTGTATGCGATCTTCTTCGCTTTAGATCACATGTCGCCATACTTCCTCGTCCACAATTTTCATTGACTCTAAAAAACACGTTGGGATCCCCGGCAATGAACAGGCACTAGCACACTCCGCCTCCTTATTCACATCACATCATCCCAGACTTTCATATATACCAACCTCTGATTACTACCCTCACTTCAAAACTTCCTTCTTTGGCCACTGGCAATCATTCTGCTCTGGCCTAAACACTAATAAACTACATAACATTAAACCTTCCATCTCTCCTTGGCCAATAGCATCTCATAAGAACAGACGCTGGGAAACTGTTCTTGCTCGCCTACGCACTGGACACACTCGCCTCACACATCCTTATCTCATGTCTCAGCCTGATCCACCACTATGCCCCTCATGCAATGTCCCGCTTTCAGTCACACACATTCTACTATCCTGTCCCCACTTCACAGCAACCCGCATCTCTGCCTTTCCTCACTTATTCTCACTTCCCCGACCCCCTCAATCTATCAGACATCCTCTCAGAGCCCCCTACGTTTTCCTTTGACAACTTATTCTCCTTCCTTAGATGCATAGATATCCTCCATTCGATCTAATCACCCTTTAGCTTTATCCCTCCCCCTCCTATCAATAACTATCCTACTCCTTTTACAACCCCTTTCTACCCCTTACACTAACACACTCTTATGATATTACCGTTGAAACTGAAGTAAATTTGCCCCTTTAATCACAATACTCTACCACTGTACTATATATCACCCTTGAAGTCTAGCACATATATTTGTTTAAAAGAAATAAAGATTAAACATTGGTCCACCTGGAAGTTTTCGAGGAGCCTGTTAGTATGTTGACCATTGAGCTTAGTAGGCAAATATAATCAGATCAGTTGGTCTCTCCGTGCTAGCCATGGGTGAATCACACTCTAAAGGTCTATGGATCTACAAAGAGCATTGCATGATGCGGAATTGGATGCTGTGTGGAAAGGGAATTAGATACTGTGTTAGTGGGAAATTAGATGCTACGTCAGTATAACAGAAAGGAAATAGATAATGAGGTGGAGGCGCGATACGTTGCGTTAGAGAAAATGTTTTTGTCGGGAGCTCATTAGCTAGCGAGATTAAAATTTTATACAGCCATGACATTAATTTATGCGTATGTCTCCCCCACCCCATGCCTGTTGTTGTCATGGGGGCTTAGGAGAAGGAAACTGGGGCCCAATATTGGGGATCAACCCTACCTAGGGCGTCAGCCTTTGACTCAACTAATTCTGTACGGTCTTCTTCCCCTTTTCTTTTCCTTCTCTTCTCCAACCCCTTTTACTATCTACCTCCTAAGGTATGAAACCAGTGTTGAAAGAATGAAAGGCTGACTTCATGCCCAAGGGAACCATGGGCA